AACGTGAAACAGTAAAACGTAGTACTGGGAACTGTGCACTGCACGACTCCCTGGTGGTTTGGCCTCTTTGGTTCTGGCTCGTATCCTCTCATCCGACTCTTCGAATTCATCTAAGCTGACTTGTGCCTCTCGGCACACATAGCGCCCGTACCCGTGCGAAAAAAAAATACCCTGTACGACTCCCTGACCACCTCTTGGGAGGCAGCCTAGGGAACTGTCTATCTGCTCATTTCCTTCTCGGCCTTTTGGCTATGATCAAGTGCAGCATCTGTTCTTATCAGTGTGACAACTGATATGTCTCCAACTGGAGACTTGTCCACCGACGACCAAGCTGCAGCAGCTCAAACTTGCCAAGACGCATTGGGCGAGACGCCCTCTTGAGGTGCACTTTTTTTTCCACGAGTGCGGACGCCGTGTGGGCGGTGTGCCCAGGTCATCATTGAAAGGAAAGGAAACACAACAAGATGATGGGAATAGAACACAAGAAACCCGAAAAACAACACGCAACCCAACCACCCCAACCACAACCAAACACAACCAAAGGCCAGAGGCCGATTCCACATCAAACTAACACTGACCTGAAGCTTACGCACCCCAATGTCATTCCCAGACGTGATAGAATCGCTGCGCCAATGCGGCTGGCCTCCTGGATTCGATTTGAAACCGCCATGACAAGCGAGGACTGGGAAGGTGCTATCAGCCTGCTGGTGTCCAATCTCCACGGGTCAGACAAAGACCTTCTCCAATTACTCCAGAGCTGCGTGGCAGGACAGCAAATAGCCTCCATGGAGGAAGCACAGGCTCTTCTACTGAAAAAATTTCAGAGTAGGCAAAGACAAGCCAAGTGCGTGTGCACAATGGCTGACGGAAATGGCCAGGGATCTACTGGCACGGATCCCGTTCCGTGAAGTGTTTGTCATCCTGGCCCTCTTTCTCCCACAACTTACCTTGTGGGCGGAAGAAAAAGCAGGCAAAAGACACGCACACTTTTCGCCGCACACTTGAGCCAAAGTGACGAACGTTCTCCAAGGTTCACAAATGTTCTCGGGACATTTGTGGACATGCAAAACCATACTCAAAACAGTTCTACGCTTCACAAAGGTTCTCAAAACAGTTGGAAACAACTAAGAGCATAGTCTAAACATCTTCGGGTGTTCTCGGACACCTCATACACAAACTACAAACGTAGGGAAACATTGAAAGGGATCTTTCAATGTCCTCAAAAGCTAACGAACGTCATTCAAACAAGCCATAGGGAGGAAAACTCCCTCTCAAAGCTTTCTTTGCGGTCTCTAAACAAGTGGTATGGAGTCTTCGCTCCTCAGTACTATATAAATTCTCACACCCCCTTTCGAAGCTCACATGCCACTTTGGACAGTGGTCACTCGCTGTTCCAGTAAACGCTTGCGCTCACAGCAGCTACACAAACCAAAAGAGGTGACTTTCTTGCCTCGCAAGTATTGGCATTGACGGTCAAGGTGGAATTTGGACCCAGTCGAAGTCACAAAAACCTCAAGTACCTTGTTCACTGCATTCAGCTTCATCCACTCGGAGGTTGCAGTGTTCTCAACACCACTCGGCCGGCCAGCAGCGCTCGAAGCAGCAGCACCTGTAGAAGCAGCAGCAGAGACTCTCTCTCTCAACAACGGCTCTTGCTTCTCTGGCTTATCGGCCATCATCCTCTTCTGTCCCAAAAGGCTCTTCGCCATTCCAGCAGCGCCAAAAAGCTTCACAAGCAAACTCAGCGCGCCATACAACGCCAGCGCAGCAATGCAGCTGCCCTCAAACGACAACATGGCTTCCCGCGCGGACGCCCCACACACACAAATGGCTGCGGAAAAGTTCGGCGAAGAAAAGTTCTCCGAAAGGAAAGAAAAGATAGGAAGGAAGGGACGACTCAAGGGTCATTTCGACATGAGCACGGGTTCCTTCCTGAAAAACAGTCTCACTGTTCAACTGATTTCAAGTCTCTCGAAGTAAGGTGGTCACGCAGACCGAGACAAGATTCATGAAGTACCTTTGTCAAAAACCTGATCCAATTTCATCGACTCTCGACAGACTCTACAGTGAACAGTCTAGAAGGTGTGAACAATCACAGTTCAAAAGCTATTGAATTCCAGCGGCATCTCACGCACACGTATTTTCACATCGATCATCGGAAGCCTCGTCCGCAAGTGTCATCAAGCTATCTGTGCAGCAACAAAAGCAAAGGCCCTCAGCCAGTCGGTTGCTCAGCTTGGGTTCTCACCTCAAGGATGCACAGATGCAGAAACTCTTCACAAGAAAACGAGCAAATTTCATCGAGTACCTTTCCGTATCATGGTAATCAACTGCATTGAACGGTGCATGATTCTCAAGACATCGACATTGAAAGCGAGAGTTCAACCGTTGACTCAATAACGAGTTGGAACTCTGAATCCTGAAAATTTTGCCAATTCGAAGTCCACTCTGGGTTTCCAATCCCATCGAACAAGCATGACATTCACTCTGATATGCCATTCCGTGCTTTTCGAAGAAATTCTGAAGATCTCGGCTTTTCCAGTACTGATTGCTTCTCGGCAGTTCGAACGAAACAGTGACGGACACTCCATCAGATGACTTGATCTCATCAAGATACTTTCCAGATGACTTCAAAAGATAGAAGAACTCTTTCTCGTGCTTCTCATTCCTTCCCAAAAAAATCAAGAGAGGGGATCCGCCTTTGCAAGGAAGAGAGATGTGCACGAGACATGCCACCTGAGATCCATGCGGGCATCGACTGAATCCATCACGGAGTAGGGTCAGCACCTTATTGCGAACTCCGATCTCCTGGAGGTTTGCATGGATTCCTATGTATCGAACACAGTCAACTTCTCGACAAGATCTTGCGATGACTGACTCTTTGCCGCAAGCTACTTCTAGCACAGTATATCGAGGGTACCTGACTTGATCCGACTCTCGGACGATTGAAACGGCTGAGTCACACTCAAAAGTCACTCTTGTCAAGGTTTCGTTTGAACATCTTAGCATCACACTTCGCGGGGGCATTGAGGCCAACAGCGAAAAGATGGTCACATTCTGCTCAGCTGTCAACACTCCAGTACCATGGCATGCGATGCAACATTGAATCGGTCTGGATGTCCCTGAACTGGCCACTGAACTTCCAGTATGGCCATTGGTGTCGAAGTGTGTTGAGATCCTAATCCCATGATCCTTGCGATGTCGCTGGTCGAACCAATCGGCGACTCTGCTGATACTGGTGCTCCCCAGTCAATGAGAGGCCTTGCCGGTGAAGACTTCGGCAAAACAGGCGCCACCATTGGAGACTTGGGTACCTCAGCTGATCCCGTCACCGGAAATCCGATCTCAGTCGGAGGAGGTGGTGGTTCCTGATGAGCTGTAGGAGGGCTATCCAATGGCGGTGGAGGAGGCTTCGGAACTACCTCCGGTGTCACACACTCCTCAACAGTCTGCTCTGGCAATCCCTCAGGGTGCTTCGTGGGCGACGAATCCTTTGTTCGGTCAACTCCACTCGATTTCGGCTCTGCCGGAGTTGCAGCGGCGTCGACCAGAGTTGGGCTAACTGATCGAAAGGCTTCACTCGGAGTCTTTGGAGCCATCTTTGGAGGGGTCTTGGGAGGTTCAATCCCAATTGGCTTTGGAACAGGTACTGGTGCCTTTGAAGCTTCACTCTTTGGAGCCTCGCTCGTTCCTTTGCAGGAGTCTTGGGCTTCTCAGCTGGCTTCTTCGGAGGAGTCTTCGGAGCAGTTGGCATCGCCTTCTTCTTTGGCGGAGGTGGCATAGGTCCCTTCGGAGGGGTCTTTGGTGGCGGTACCGGAGGAGGACGCTTGGGCGGCGCAGCCTCGCTGTGCTTTGGCCTATTCTTTCGAGGATCCTCCGGAAGCGGCCGCATGTAGCTAGGACGCTCACGATTCTCCTTGGTGAAGGGCTTCATCTCCAACCTCTTGCGCTTCCTGCGCAGCTCTTCCTTGAGATCATCGGCTTCCTCTCCATCACCTCAAGGCCAAACTTCATCCGATGTCTCATAGTTCTGATGCCTTCTCTGGGGCTCCTCACTCTTCCTCTTTTTCAGCAAGAGTCTCAACCTCTCATCTGCTGACATACCTGGAGCTGTTGGGATCGGCAGTGCATACTTGGGCGCAACAGGGCTGTAGCCAACTTGCGACACACTGTCGCCTGAGCTGATCTGTGAGCTCAAAGGATTCTCAAATCCATAGTTGGGCAATGCATCACCTCGAAGGTCTTCATCGCTCTTTGGATCGATCCGTTGACTCAATTGGATCTTCCCTGTGGTCAAACTCGGACCTCTGTCCCTGGATGCACGAGGCGGCCACATGGCCATAGTTGCCACAGATCCTGCACTTCAGGTTGCGGACTGGTCGAAAGCTGAAGCCACTGAAGGCCCGAATCATCCTTGGCTTGGGCGCCTCATTGGGGCCACGCAAGGGGACCTCCACCCTTCGGCCGCGACGAGCATCAAAGCCAAGAATTGTGCATTGGATGGGCTTCTCATCGGTGCGTAGTTGCAGAGGACATTTGCAAATTGTGCACTTGGTTCTTGGAGAATGGTGTACTTTCATGTCGGCAGACTCCTTCTTCACGCTCGGCCTCTTCCGTGCGGAACCGTGCTTGGAGCTAGGTCTCTTCATCTGAGATGCTTGGTTTTTAAGCTTCTTTTACAATCCCCCGTGATTGACCAGAAGGCTGCGAATGGAGCCGTGCAAGAAGCAGACTGTTGATATCATTCTCAAAGACATGCGTTTGTGTACTTGTTGATGCTTTGAGACTGTTAACGTTAAAGAAGACAAATGCAAAATGATGCACAGCAAACACCTTTTTTAATCTTTTTTCATTGTTTTGCTTTGCTTTGACCTGCGCCTTCCTGTCCACTGCCCCACAGTGGCCCGCGGATTCCGCAGTCACCCTGCTACAGACCGATTTACGGACCTGAGCGCCTATAAAGGGAAAAGTCCGCAAATGATTTTCCTATAGCAGATAGTTCATCCTTCCTGGTAAGTGGCGAAGCCGTGGTTGAAGGGATCTTCGTCTTCATTCGCGCATTCTGGGTTGGCGTCATGCTTTGGTGCTCGGGTTTCTTCCTCGCTATCCGGATCTAGGTCAATGACAATGGACGAGGAGGCCAGTTCGCGGCTCCACACACGAGCTTTCTTGAAGACATGGTTCATTGCAACCTCTTCCTTCTCCCTCTTTATTGCGACACGCTCCTCCTCATGTGCCTGCAAGGTCTCTAGCGCAGATTCCTCTTTCGGCTTGTCACCAAACAGGGCTTGGCGAAGATGTTTTCGATCTCGGGCCTCCTGCTTGCTCATCCGCCTTTCCTCAAATCGTTTGTTCATGATGATGCTCACCCACTCCTGTTCCTTTCTCACCTCTTCCATGAAGTCCTCAGGCATTTCCTTTTGGCCTGCCTTGTACTCACCGTACACCTTTTTGCCATCGGCTGTCAAGAACCCATCGCTTGACAAAGCGACGCGGGGAACCTTGTCTTCATTGATGCCTGCTCGGCGGTAGTACAGATGAGTCTTCGAGTTCACCAGGAAGGCGGCGCGCTTCAAAATGGCGTCCATATGGGTGCGGGTAGCTTGGTCGATGAAGGCTTTTTTGACCACGTCGTAAAAGTCCGTGAAGTTGATTTCAAGGACATAGTCTGGTGGAAGCGGGATGGAGTCCTCATAGGTGTTGTCTGCCACAGCCCTGGGTTCGTTTTGAACCACTTACTGGCTCCCCACCTAGCCCAGGCCATACTTTCATAGAGTCCGACATCTAGAAAAGCCTTGACAAGTTTCATGCTCAGAAGGTTCAGGGCGGTGTCGCCCAGGAAATCCCCCATAAGATCCCATAAGTACAGATCCTGGTTCGCCGCGAAGACAATCTAATTCCGGGGTGCAGCGAATGCAAGGCTGCCCCTGGACCTGGAACCTCTCCAGGTTGTGGCGGCACTGTGCGAACAGGACACTTCTGCCCAATGGGCTTTTCCTTCCACCGGGCTCTCCGAGCATGACCAAGGAAGCTTGGTCAAAGTCCCAAATGGCTTCCAAAGCCTTCAAAACTTCCGCGCGGAAGTATTTTGGCGTGAGTGGTAATGGCCAATGATGCTCTTTGCGGGCTAAAGCTCCGTCGGCAGCCAAGTTCCGAAGAGCTTGACTAACCAACGCTACCGGCCAGCCAAAGATTGGAGACGATTTGTTGCGAAGTTCTTTCGTCTGCCAACGGAGCTGGGCCATTTCACAAGATGAGCGAGGGCCCATCTTGAGAATATGATCAAAGCCCGCATCGATGTCATCATCGTCCTTCTCCTCAAAGCTGCTGTCGGGCTTTGGGCCTTTGCGACTTGCCTGGGAAGTGAGCTCAAAGCACTTGAAGATACGCCCACCCAAGTTCTCCAGGCAGTACTGCAAGATTTTCCTGCCACCTTTGGGGGAAGGCTGCATCCACATAGATTGAAAGCCCTCACCGTAGATGAGCTGTTTGAAGAAGGTTGCCTTGATTTTTCCCGGAAAGGCCAAATGCTTCAAGATAGTGGTTTCACCCTCGGAGTTTTTGATGATGACGATTTGGATGGTCGTTTCCTTGGGGACTTCAACCTTCAGACCAAAAGGGGCGGGAAGATACTGCAAATCCTTGCGTTCGCATGCCAATTTGTAGCTAGTGCTGAGGTCAGAAAAGTTGATGTCGCCCTGAAAGTTCTGGATGAGGTCAACGGCATGGACCAGGTTTGTTTCCCCTCCGTTCAGTTCCTTCATAGGGAAGGTGAGGATGTTGAAGGAGCCGCATGGCTGGAGAGGGAGCGACATGGAAGCGATGCTCCTGCAAATGAGGCCATTGACAACCTCATGCAAATCATCATACGTCATATCTTCAGACTGCATGGCGGAGTTTACTACAGCAGACAAATGCGACCAATGGCGTTTCCTGAATCCTTGATGGATGACAAATGCTAACAGACAGATCCTTCCAGGCAATGTCAGACACATCGACGCGGCATCGCCTTGCTCTTCACCTTTGCCTTCGCCTTGGCTTTCGGACGTGGAGGTACTCCACCCGACTCTTCATCCTCTTCTTTCACACTCTTCGCCTTGCACTTCTTTGCAAGGCGCTTCGGAGCTCGCTTCACCTCGGCAGCTCTTGAGCAGCTTGATCCTCGTCACTCGAGACGGCTTGGAGGCAACGGAACTCTTCCGGGAGCGTGAAGGGGTAGCCGACACACCATAATGATCCAGCTTCTGCAGTGCCTGCCTCAGCTGGAGCCTTTGGCTGGACCTCGCCGGTCAAACAGAAGGTTCTGCTGGAACTTCATGCATAGGATCTGGATCCGCAGGAGCTGTAAGTTCCTCGGTGGCTGGAGTTGCAGATACCTCGCAGTTGGAACAGTAGGTACCTCGGTGGTTGGAGCTGTACGCACCTCGGCAGTTGGAGCCCGACACAGGCTCTGTTGGATTCGGAACAGCTGTAGGTCCGGCAGGGACTCCTGGTGCCTCAGGGGTTCTCAGTACCGGGGACATGCGCGCACTCAAGGATTCCTTCAGCCATGAGCTCGCGAAGCCAGAAAATCCAAATCTCCACATGGCGCGAACGGCGCTGCAGATCAGAAGCCTCAAAGATCATCTTCCCACTCAGGGAATCTGTGAGCCATGCCAAACAAAGGAAGATGACTTGCACAAGACCCAACGCCTTGAGGACCTGAAAGACAGTCCTGGACAAACCAAGTCCTTCCTGGATGCCTTTCTGACGCGCGGAGAGCTCTGTCTTGCACGAACTCAAAGTCACCGATCCCTGATGCCGGCTGAACGCTTTCAACAGCACACCACCGTGCACAAGACACACACCTGTGATGCTGCGGCGGTTCGTACTCCGCATGAGCAAAGCCTGCATCGGTGTAGACCAGCAGTGTCTCTGCACAGTCAGGGAGCTCACTTTCGGTTGAAAAACGCTGTCCAACCTTCATGTCGGTGATCAGTAACTGAGAACCATTCGAAGTGCCTTCTCATGGCCTGGCTTTGGAGATGCCTGGCCCCTGGAGAGCAAACCGACAAGGACCAACAGATCCAACCTGGTTTGGCACATCCACGACAGACGACCCAGGATTCTCCTGAACCGTGCATGCGCCTCGGCACTGATAGATTCCTGCTCAATCGTCTCCTCGATGGCTGGCCGGATGTCAGGGAACGTGGCGCTTCCTTTCTCGATTTCGAACTCACGGAAACATTCATCCATTCCATGTGGTCAGGGTCAACAGACAAGTGCATCAACATAGCAGATCAGGACAACGGGCGCTCCACCCACTGAACCGGCATAGAGGCAAGGCTCAGTGACACTGGACTCAAGACCCGCCTCTCGGACGATGCCAGCAAAGAAGGATGCCCACGCGAGCGAACCCACTCTGAGTCCGTTCAAGCCTTTCTTGGCCTCAAGGTGGACTGGTTCATTGGCGTCATAGCCCGGAAGTGGAAAGCCGAACGACGACGTGCAACCACAATGATCAGTTGGGAGAGAGCTTGGTTCGCGGTGCGTTGCAAGCTTTGAAGCAAGAGGCACAGTGATTTTAGAAAGAATAGGTCTCAGAGAAACGTGAAAGGTTGCAGTCTGAAAGGTCACTTGCAGTTTACTTTGGTTTTTCTTCCTTGCTTTGGTTGAAAGCAGAGAGAGTGAGACAGCAGAGAGTTTTTGCAGTCTTTGGAACAGCGTGAAACGAAACTTCAACGACAAGGTTTTTCATAGATAGCTATATGCATTAGATACCGCAATGCAGTCATGCACGTGCACACACGTAATAGAACGCAAGGATTCGCTTGCAGGTTCATACTTTTCAATGGAGGGATGTGCAGGTGGACACTCTGAGAGTGTGAGGTGAGAGCGTCCTTCCGCGTGGACTGTGGTTGTGCTGAACCCGAACGGGTTTGCGTTGGACTTTTGGCCGACTTGCGCTTCGTGCACTTGTTGGATGGGTAACTTCAGTTGCATCTTGGGAGCCTAGACTGTGTGTGAGCCATGGCTTCTTCTGAGAAGATGATGTCAGAGTCGGAAATGGGAAAGTTATCAGAGCTTCTGGAAAGGCAAAGCGTTCTGGATGTGCTCCTGAGGAGCTGCTTCAGGGACCTATGCCATCTGGAAAGGTGGAGCGCAGTCAAGGTTCCATGTCACATTCTTCCAAGCGCCGCTTGGTTGCTCCGGATGAGTTCGAGATCCTCGAACCACCATTTGTGAGCGAAGCTGAGCGCTCAACACTTGTGAGAGAATCAGAGATTGAGGATTTTGGAAAGGGAGATGTGAATCTCAAGATCCCTGTTCCAAGAGAGGTGAAAGATGGTCCTCAATGGGGTCGCACTTTGATGCAGTTGCCGGCTCTGAAGAGGCGCAATTTGAGCTACGCGGAGATCTTTGACCTTGTGGTTGAAGAGGATGCCGATATTACCAAGTACTGTCGATGGGTCATGGAGACTCATGGAAAGACAGTGACCGATGCTCCTAGGACTCGAGCTGAGGACTTTGCAATGTACCTGAGGTAGCGCAAGGCCGATGAGATCATGGGCACTGGCAAGTTGCAGCGAAAGTACAAGTCGTGAATACGACATGTGAGAATGGTGCATTGGCCTCAAAGACACACGATTTGTTGCAGTCTGCGGCTGGATTTGGTTTCAAGCACTACGAAGTGGCAGTCTGTAGCACACGGTTTTTCAAAGCACAACGAATGGCAGTCTTCGACTGGTTTTCCAAAGAACTCGACTTTTGTGGCATAGCAGCTATGAGTTGCAGTCTGTAACTGGTTCTTCATTGCACAACGAAGTTGCAGTCTGAAACACATTTTTTCCAAGGATTTTGTGAAGGTGAACTTCCGTGTTTGAACCTTTGAAAAGAAGTTCATTGGAAAGCTGCAGGATCACGCTGAAAGGGGGTGTGAAAGTGTGGGTAGAGAACGTCGTGACCTTGGCTTTGGCTTTGGTTGGTGCCTGCCTTTCGAACCTTCTGGTGCTAGCGACCGCTAGCATTTGTGGATAGCTTTGGATGCACCAAATATGACCAGTGGACGCTGGCTATGGAGAACGGAGCTTGGACAGCTTCGAGTGTGACCAATGTGTGTGCCATTGGAGCTTTGGAAGCTTCATGTGGAACCAACTGGAGTGAGAGATGCGTGGGGATTTGTTTCCACCAAGTATCGCTGACATCCGTCAGCGTGGAGCAGAGAACCACTGTTTTTGGTCTCACGGAGTGAGAAGTAGATCCCATCTGGATTGGGAATACACACGACAGAGGGTCTGTGTATAGGTATGTAGAGTATCCGATAGATCCGTGTGTGCACGTTTTTGGATGGAAACGATGTATATGTGTGTTGCTAGAACTCTCTTAGACCGGAAGTAACATTCTAGATGTTGCCTTCCCCTGATGATGGCGTCGGGGTGCAGAGATCTGACTCTGATGTGAAAGTGTGCACCTGTCTAACGGGGGGGTATGTTGTGGAAATAGAAAGAGAGGAAAGGTGGGTGATACCACCTCTACCACCTGAAAGTGTTTAAGCACTCACTACGTTCGAAGGAACGTGGCTCAAGTGTGGCTAGCTAGAAGCAGTACAGTGGAAAGCAAGCTAAAGACACAGACTAGCAACGCGTTCTTTTGTGTTCGTGTGCGTTGGTGCGAAAAGGTTGCTTGTCCGGTGCGGATCCGGTAAGGGTAAGGCTCGCTACTTTTCACAAAGAGAGGAATCGCATCATCAATTGCCACCAAAATTGTTGCTGAACGCAAGCATCAGACCCTGAAAGTGTCCGAATCTCCGTCCGGTCGATAAATGGTTTGTCCAAGAGACTCCAAGAAACCCTTTTTCTTGGCCCCACTCTCGATCTGCTCGCAATCAAAAGACCATCGCACACACCAAACCAAAAGAATCTTCCGTGCTGGAGGAAACACGAAATGGAGTGGACGGAAGCCGGCTCGCTGCAATTCAGGAACGACAACAATGTGCTTCAGACCATTTGAGGTGTTCAATGCAGGTTGCTGAACCAATGGACTCTTTGAACTTTTCTTTGCAAGAAACAAGAATGGTTTCCATGCAGCTGCGAGAAACCCAAAATGCAAACATTCTTTCCCACGCTGAGATTTGTCTTTGTGGCTTTCTTTGTTGGTTGAAGGGTCATTTGCACTGTGTGTTGTCACCGAAGAAGGGTCGTTGTTGGGTTTTGGTTGGGTTGGCAGCCAGTGGTGGGAAGCAATTGGTTGGTGACAATTGGTTGATGACAATTTGGTTGGAGACAATTGGTTGGTGACAATTGGTCGGTGCAATTGGTTGGTGACAATTGCTTGGTGACATGTTGGTGGCAATTGGTTGGTGGCAATCAGTTGGTGGCAATTGGTTGGTGGCAGTTGGTGGGTGGCGATTGGTTGATGACAATTGTTGGGTGGCATTCTGTTGATGACAACTGCAACTGATTGGGTTGATGTCAATTAGTTGATGACAATTGGTTGGTGGTGACAGGAGGAAAGAAGGGAGGAGGAGCGGATACCGCACAAAAAACAAAAACCCCACACGTCAATGTGGGGAAAAACAGGCAACTTGAGGTGTCACGAAAAAAGAGAATTCAAAGCGCATGACAAAGCACTGTGTTTACCAATGAACTTGACATGAAAACCTGCAAAGCAGGGTACGGTTTCCAATCCGTACGGATGTTTATCCGTCAGTGGAAATGTCTCGGAAGACCTCAGTACGAAGTAAGTTTTCAATTTTTTCACGATCCGTCTCCGCCACTCCTATCTCCCCTGACTGCGACATAGCCTGATCAACCGGGTTTGGGTCCATTCGTTGGAC